AATTTGAACAAAAATGTTCAAATGTTCTTTCGAATTGGTCAAATAAATGTAGACTTCCACTCGCATATAAACGTACGCACCCATAACAAGATAACAAGACCGAACTGAGACGACTTGATACGCACCTCCGATTAGCGTGGTTGGCTACGTACGGTGCGAAAGAAGTTCAACGTGCATACGTACACTTGAGGACCCGGTTTTAAATCACAGGTGGCCAACCCAGAATCTCAGCAGTGCCCGATGAACGCTCGAATCTCTTGACCTCTGGTCCATCCGGTCACCATAGAAATGTTGTTCAATCCTTTCGAAGGATTCACACTCGCATTGTCCGACTGAACTGACGTGGACCTTTATTTACTTGGGACAATGCTAGGTTCAGCATTTGGGCCAAATGTGACCGATTAAACCGAATGTAATGAATGGGGCAGTGAACGTGAATAGAGGACCTTTTGAAAGCAACAGAGCCGCAATGCCGGGCTGTGTTTACTCCACTGCTCGCTAGCGTGTAGTATAATCAATCTGTTATTGCACGTTACGCCTAAGTTCATTCAAGCAGCAACTTCATAAATCACACGCACGAACACATGCGCACACGAGGCCTGTAAAGATGCCTTTGGTTTAACTAATACGGTTGCTCTCAGACGCTTTGAGCGAAAATCCTCGAATTCTTATTAAAATAAATGTTGACGCTCACGACATATGCTTTGAATCGCCCTTGCAAGCAACGATTGTCTGTAATTTATGCACATTATATGCACATGTATATACTTATAATATAATGACCCTTGTGATTGTTGTTATTATTTTGTGTTTTTTACCAATATAAACTCAGTTCGTGTGCAGGAGCGAGGTGGACTTTCACATCGCAGGATTGCGAGAGATGGCGGCGGCTTGGGGTGGTCTTCTCCCAGCAGTGGCATGACCATGGCTGATAAATGATACTAATATCACGAGGAATATCAACAAACACCAAGACACAAATTCCGCCCCCCACCTATAGCCTAAAACGTTTGATGGGGCAAGTGCTGTGAGTGAGCTCCTATCATGGCAAATGCGGCACACGAACGGGTGGTGTGGTTAGCACCACGACCACGGCAGTAAAAATTCGGTCACAGTCCCTGTGATCATTGTTACGTTGCAATTATGGCTTTATTTTTTGGTGATTTCGAAAAGTTTTTTGGTTTTAACATGTTTGTTTTGTTGTAGTACGGAGACTGATGGCCTTAATCTAAGTTTTCTTGTGGTTGTTGTGGTTGTTTGACTTGCATCCCACTGGGATTTTTTGCACACAGCGTTGGTGTACGGTGCTTTTTTCAGGAATATTTTGCTGTTTTTTTTCATGGATTGTTCTGTTTGCACAGTCACATAGTCACCTTAAGATGTTTTTCTTGTTCGTGTTTTTGTTTTTGTTTGTTTGTTGTGGTTGCACCCGATTCAAGAGCCGAATGGCTCACAGGGCTATACCAAAATAAATAAACTGAAACTGAAACACACTCTCTTGTACACACGCGAGCACACAACAACAACCGCCATTCACCACTAAGTGGCGGTGACGTCACCACGACGCTTGTGCCAGGCTATGTGCACCCTGAGGCCACGTGAAGTGTCGAACGCCCGCTGGCACGAGGTCACGGGGCAAACCCAGGTGCCACGGGTCAACTGACTGAGATGACTGGCTGATGCACCACCTGTGCCCCCTACTGTGCCAACCTGCTGTGCTTTAGCCACCCGGCACTCCGCTCGTTGTTGTGAGCGTCGCTCCTCCGCCTTCCATTGTTGTTGGAGGGCGACTACCTCCAACTGCCCAGTAGCGTCCTTCACGAGCCTCCTCCACAGAGGCCGATCTTGACACCACTGGTAGCAGTCATCGGCAAGTCCACTCAGCTCGACGTCCTCCTGTACCACATCACTCCATCTCTTCTCTAGCCCGTGCCGCGCCCGCTTAGCCCCCTCAATCCGGCCGAACAAAAGCTGTTTCGGCATGCGGTGGCTGGGCATGCGGGCTACATGACCCAGCCATCGCAGCCTTGCCCGCCGGAGGAGCTCACCGATGGGACCTTGCCCAGATCTTTCAAGGATTTGTGAGCTCCTCACACAATTCAGTCTGGTTAAACCCAGGATGGATCGTAGGCAGGCCAGCCTAAATGTTTCTAACCGGCGAAGATGTTCCATTAGGGGGGGTCCACAAACACGTGTGCACACACACACTCTCTTGCACACACGCGAGCACACAAACACGTGTGCACACACACACACATCCGCACATAGATGTGTGACCCAACAACAACAACAACAAAACAACACGCCCTGTGTTCCGTACAAACGAGTTTAACGATATTGATTTGAAGCTTTCGTGACTGCAGGGATTAATATTCTTGGTTCTACGTGACTTTACCGAAAGAACCAAGAATATGAGTTTAACGATGTTAAATTATGGGACCATTTTGGAAGTGTTATATATTGCCTTTCATGAGCATTTAATAGTGCTTCGATTCATTCTGTTCTCATTAAAATGTACACACACACACACAAACAAACTTGAATATTCAATTGCATATACAAAGACAAAGGCTAAGTTCCCCGTCTAGATTTTAACAATCTGTTGGGGCAAGTGCTGATGGAGAGCACCTAATTCAGGGCCGGCCAGAACCTCACACGGCTACCTTTGTCTCCCCCCCCCCCATGTTGATGTTTTACACACTGAACATGTAAGGCTGAGTCAACCTAGGGGAGGCCCAGGACCGGTTCAAATATTCGTCACCGATGTTGACCGTAAGCAGGAATCGAACTCTGGTCGCCGGTGTTACAGCGCAGTGCGCCAACCACTACACTACCACTCCAAAAAATGCACATAGGCACATAAAAGATAAGAAAAAAGATCCCCCGTGTAGCCTTAACAGACTGTTGGGACAAGTGCTGTTAGCGAGCACCTATGAAGGCCGGAATGGCACACGAGGGGGTGGGTGGCCAGCACCACGCCCGGCCGCGTTTGTCTCCCTCGTGGCGATGTTTACACATCGCACCAGGTTACTCATTTGAGGCTGAGTCTACCTAGGGGATGCCCAGGACCGGTTTAGATAATCGCCACTGGTGTTGGCCGTGAGCGTAAATCGAATCCGGATCGCTGGGTTCATAGCGCAGCGCGCTAACCGCTCCCCACACACGTAAACACACACACATACATAGACAAAGTATCCCCGTATTGCCTTAGCAGACTGTTGGGGCAAGTGCTCTTCGCGAGCACCTATAAAGGCCAACACGGTACGCGAGGAGGTGGGTAGCCAGCACACACACACATAAACACCCAAACACATACACACATATAAACACCCAAACACACACACATAAACACCCAAACATACACACACATAAACACGCAAACACATACACACGCACACATAAGCACCCAAACATACACACACATAAATACCCAAACACATACACACATATAAACACCCAAACACATACACACACATATAAACACCCAAACACACACACACACACAAACACCCAAACACACACACACAGAAAAGTCACCCCCGTCCGGTATAATCAGACGGGCTCTTGTGGTAAATGCTGTTAGCGAGCACCTATTAAGGCCGGCACGGCACGGCCTTAATCGGAGTAGCGTGACGAGCACCACGTGCATACAGACACATACACGAATGCACAAACGCACATAAATTCGCGCAGATGCATCGTCCGTTGTGACGGCGTCCGAGATTTGAGTTGATGCGTCCCTGGTGTTCGCTGCGTCCGAGATTTGAGTCAACGCGTGCCTGTGGTGTTCGCTGCGAAAGATCCGCGTCCGAATAGAATGACGGGCATTTGCTATGTAACGGGCGCCATCCATCAGCCTGGGACTTTGCTTTAGTTTTTTGTCTCGAGACGAGGCCCTGGGTTTTGTCAAGAAGCTCTCTGCTCTGTAACTTGCTAAGCAACGTTCAGCAACCCCACCCCCCGTGACTGAAACGGCGCCTTCTTCCAGCAGTGGATTGACCAAGGCTATTTACATCGTCGTTGAGATGCGGGTTGCGTTGGAACGCTGAGTAAATCCGAATTGAAATGCACTGCATGGTCCAGAGGGAATGCCACCAAACAGCCACGGCGGTGCTAGAGGAAGGAAACTGAAGGACGTGGGGGGGGGGGGGGACTGGCGTATGGGAGGAGGAGACACAAAGACAATGATTCCCCGTATAGCCTTCATCAGGCAGTTAGGGAAAGTGCTGTTAGCGAGCAACTATGAAGGCCGGCACGGCACACGAGGGGGTGGGTGGCCAACACCACGACATTTCTCTCCCCAGTGGTGATGTTTACACAGCACACCAGGAACTCATTTGAGGCTGAGTCGACCCAGTGGAGGCCTAGGAGCGGTTCAGATAATATAATCGTCACTGGTATTGGCCGTGAGCGGGACTCGAACTCGGGTCGCCGGGTTCGTGAGCGCAGCGCGCTAACCGCTACCACTACCGCTCCCCATGAGCACAGCAACACTGGCAACAGATGGGATGATGATGCTGCTGCTGGAGGTTTATTGATCTAGCAGCCTCCTTAAGAGAGGCTGGATGGGAAGAAGAAGGTACTGATGTGGCCATTAAGGTGTTCTCCAATCTACCAATTTAAATACCAGTGTAAATGCAAAGGCGTCAGCAATTGCCCAAGCTCTGCGATCCTTTATACACGAACGTTTTCAGCCAATGAACGAGTGCGCATACAACAAGTGGGAGAAAACCGGAGGACCCGGTGAAAACCCACACGTGCGAGGGGGGAACGCTCTATCCCATGCAGAAGGGGCCGGTGGAGATGAGTCCACAATTATGCCCTCCCGCCTTCTCTTGGCGAGCCGGAGTACGGGCAACTCCTCGATGCCCATGGAAACGAGGGAGTTGTGAAACGTTCGTAGGATCCACCACTGCCTTCGCAGTGCTTAACCACTCCCGCCCGGCTTTCATAGCAAAGCCCCACCATGTTTTGTGGTTACGACCTTCCTCTGGGCTCACCTTGGCCTCCATGTCCTTGAGTTTGCTCGTCAGCTCGGTGAGGCGCTCGCAGTCCATGCACCCTGCATCACACAGCGCAAGCACAGGAGGAGGCTTTGAGACATCTGAGAGGTTTTTTTTTTTCTCTCCGTTACAAAGCGATATACTTTTTGAAATTCATAATTCGAGAATGAAACGAAAAACAACACAGTCGTGGTGGGCGAGTGGCTCGCGAGTTCAGAGCGAGCGGCTGGGCACCACTAAACTGCGGGGTTCAACTGCGGGGTTCAGCCCGCCGCGTGAGGTTTCAGCCACCGATGACTGCTCCCAAAAAAACGAAACCCATCGCATCAAGAATAAGGTTCTGCCACTTAATTATACAACAATTTTTTTTTTATCTAAGAATTAAATATGCGTCTGGCTGTCACGCGACGAACTTTGCCCTCATATGGCAAAGCGGGTGGTAAAGTTATGCCATTTACTGTGTGGACCAGGGGCACGTGAAGGGAATCTCAGAGGTAGCTCTGCAGTGTCCACTTCTGTGGGCCATCCTCTAACATAAGGCGTCGCACTGCTCTGCGAGCAATCCGCATGGATGCTGCGCCTCGTGGCGCATGATGTTGACGGCACAAATTGGGATTATAATTGGGGAGAAAATTACATCAAAAGCACAAAACAGAGCCACTGAATTGCTCAACTGCAATCGCCTGCAACTGCTTCGTCCACATCTAAGCGAGTAGTCGCACAAAAGGGCAGCTAAACGGCATGTTCATAATCGTAAGAACCTATCCTAGTTCGCAAACATTCCTCTAATTTTGCATTCAGCAGATTGCCGCTCGGCTGTCGAGTCTTCTCGTTGCAGAGACGTCCACGTGCAAGCGATGCAGTTGCGTGCAACCGAGTCGTGCAACTGATCGCTCCGGTGGGCACCCGGCTTTGAAAGCTTTAGTGTCCGGGAAAAGCCGGGGGTGCATTTATAACCACGGTGTCTGAGGAAAGTCAGGAGCACTTCTAACGTCCGCGGCTGGCAAATCCGTTGCTATTTGTTGTACTCGGAAATCTCTTTAACACGTGCGCACGAGGCTACGGCAAGAGCCGTTTTGAGAGTGGATTTAGTCCGGAACGTCGTTTTACACAGACCGCTCACCGCCACGGCCCACTCGGGCGCACTCGGGCCATTAAAAAAGTCATTTATTTAAGAGCGCTGACACACGCGCACGTGAAACACATTCATTGTTTTATATATTTATAGAAAACAACGTTCGGCTGGCCGGCTGTCTGGACGCCTGGTCGGCGGACTGGCAGACTGGCCAGCAGCCTGACGCCGCTCAATTTCGTCCGAGATTTATCTGTCGCTAGCGTGTTCCCCCGCACCGACAATAAACAACCCGTTCATTAAACAGCGTAGCGAATTACGAGCGATGAAAGCGCCTGCCGCTCACGTGATCGCGGCGGCAGCTGATATGGGCCGTTAATATTTGGGCAATGTCTCTCTTATTTGTCCAGCAAAGATCTCGCCGGGTCTCGACTTTGTCTGATGTGAAGTCACCCGGGATCTAGACTCGAATCTGGCGCCCGCATCTCCAGCGACACCACCAGGTTGGCCCTGCGTGCCATGAGGATGTGAGGACAGTTGCAGGGCGCATCCGCTGGTATACACGGGGTGCATCAGCTGAAACACACGTGGTGCACCAGCTGGTACACACGTTGTGCATCAGCTGGTACACACGTGGTGCACCAGCTGGTATACACGTGGTGCATCAGCTGGTACACACGTGGTGCATCAGCTGAAACACACGTGGTGCACCAGCTGGTACACACGTTGTGCATCAGCTGGTACACACGTGGTGCATCAGTTGGTACACACGTGGTGCATCAGCTTGTACACACGTGGTGCATCAGCTGGTACACACGTGGTGCATCAGCTGCTACACACGTGGTGCATCAGCTTGTACACAACGGGGTGGATCATACAGGGGGTGGATCGCACGGGATGGATTAGCTCGCACAATTATTAATATGACTTGCGTCCGGCCTGTACGCACATTTCTGTCCAATACGTTTATCATCGTCTATATTCTATAGAAATAGTTATAATCGGTCACTCTTATATCTTCTATCCAGTTTCCCCCATTAGCCGTGGCACTAGAGTACATATTATGCCACTTTGGTTCCGGTTCCTATCATCCGAGCCTTTTTTCGTGGATGAGAAGAGGTCACTCAGAAGTTGGGGGGAAATGTATCCTCATATCTGTGTTTATCCACGCTTTACAGATACACGGACTAATTTGGGTGCACGGTGGCGAGATGTTCACTCCCTCGTCTGGTATACAGGAAGTCGTGGGTTCGACGCTGACCCTGACTCCTGTATATTTGGAGTTTGCATGTCTCTCTTCCCGTAGTCGCGTGGATTTTACTCCAGGTCCTCCTGTTTTTCCCTCCACATTTAGAATCAACATCACGCGTTTACAGTATTTGGCTGCTATAAATATCCACATGCTAAGCCACTTCGTTGAGCTATCATTTGTAGCGAGGTCGCCTATGATAAATAGCTATATAGTTCAGTGGGCCTTACCTGGTGAAATATGTTTTAAAGTTTATAGTTTAGTTGTAATTTACGTGGATAAATTAGGTCATATGATTCACCCTTAACCCACCCACACCAATCGCATGAAATCGGTGATCTTTCACTGAATTCAACTCTACCGTATCTAATCCAGTCATCTGCTGACTCTAACCCTTCTAGAAATAAACACTTTCACCCTCAGTTGGAAAGCGTTGGGAAAATATCTGGCTAATAGATCTGGCCTTCGCGCACAGCTGTTCCGCTCGATACCTGCTTAATGAGACGAGTAATCAACACAGCCGTCACACTCAGTGACAACATAAACGAAACATCCCCAACTACTTACGACTTTAACTATTTTTATTTTATTTTACCAGGTTAGGCTCATCGAGCTATGCAGTTTTTTTTTTATATACGCGACCTGGCCACAATGATACCTCAATGAAGTGGCCTGTCATCGCGTGGAAACTTATAGCAGCCAAATATTTTGAACGCACGTGCTTCTAAATTTGGAGGTTCCGGAGAAAACTCCACGCGACCACGGCATGAACATACAAACTCCAAATATACAGGCGTCAGGGTTGGGGAACGAAGCCACGACCTCCTGTGTACCAAGAGAAGTAATGAACATCGCGCCACCGTGTCGCCACCCAGAGTGGCAGGACACTCCTGAAAACGAGTCTTGAGATTCTGTGAGGCTTTCCTGGACACAACCCCTGTAGCGTGATATGTTATTAATGCGGCGGGGGAGGGGGGGGGTCGACGATGATTGGGGGCGGAGGGAGGGAAACTCAGGGTTGATCACGACTCAGTCAATGTTAAGCAAACATTTCAAGAAAAATGTTAAACTCTAAACAGAATGAGTAACGATAGGAGTTGCTTTGGTTTATGGGCATGCTGCTCTGGTTCTCACCCACTGTGTGTGCGAGGAAAGGCCTAAAAAAAACACCCTACCACCGGTGATTAATATCGTTCCAACAGTTTTTGACTTGACTCTTTAAGAATTTAGAATGGGGGGGGGGGGGGACTGAGAATTCATCAGTATGGTGGTGGAAGGGGGGGGGGCTCAGCCCCCTCTAGCCACCCCCCCCCTCCGATGCTACGGGCCTGCCTGGATAAACTAAACAACTTTAGGATCGAATTGTCTCGCCGCTTAAACGTATAGCGGTGCTTCTCGGTCGGGCGGCCCTGAGCTTGGAGTGGACATTCCACATTCCGATGGCAGGTGCCAGCATGGTAAAAAAGACCCCATGAGCAAAATTGACCTAACAAAGCTCTTCCTCCAATCTCAATACACTCGTTTGTCAACCTGCACCGCTCTCCTCTGTTAGACATTGAGCCATCGCTTTCCCTACATTCAATCACCCGTTGAGGAGACACTCGGAGGGCCATTAGGATTCAGGGGCAAGACGGGACCTATGCATAATAAGAATAACATTTGCATTCATGCGGCGTGGCTTAAATGCCTCAGCAATTCGAACGTCCAAAGGGCACCCCCCAGTGGCAGCTGTCACTGTGCGACACAAGGGGATCCCTCCACCCTCGCTCCTTTAAGCGTTCAACGTTGGGTTAACGTTGGGGGGGGGGAGGGAACGGCAGAACCGGCCTTGCAAGTGGGCATGAGCCTCTAAAGTAGGGCTTAATATTTGCAATTTTTTTTTATTTTACCAGGTAAAGCCCCCTGAGCTATGTACTGTAGCTCTTATTCAGAAGCGTCCTGGCCAAAAATGATAGCTCAACGAAATGTCTTGTCACGTGGCAACGCATAGTAGCCAAAAACTCTAAACGCGTGATGTTGATTCTCAATGTGGAGAGAAACCCGGAGGACCCGGAGAAAAATCCACGCGACCACGGGGAGAGAGGGACACTCAAACTACAAAAATACAGCAGGCGTTAGGGCCAGGATCAAACCCACGACCTCCTGTATACCAGTCGAAGGAGCTAACATCTCGCCACCGCGGTGCCCCTTAACATAACTAACCTAACTTAACTTTTTATCTTATTTTACCAGGTAAGGCCCACTGAGCTATACAGCTATATATGAGAAGGGACCTGGCCACAAATGATAGCTCAACGAAGTAGCTTATCATCACGTGGGAAATTCATCGCAGCACAAATATCCCGAGTAGCATCACCTCGTTGGGGAGAATCACAGGCGGTCGACACACAGCCAGAGAGACAATATTCCCGTCACAGTCAGCCGCGGCATGTACGTATGTTGAACTCCTTTGGCACCGTACCTAGCCCATCGTGCTAATCGGAGGTGCGGGGGAAGGACAACAAACTAATCAGAGAAATAAGTTCTAGAGAAATGCGGGGGGGAGGAAGATGGAGTTTGTGGGTGGGGGGGGGGGCTGCTATTGCCATCTTGTGGGGGGCACGGGGCTAGTTCAGGGTAAAACGCAGACACAGACGAGGGATGGGGAGGGTAAAACGCAGAACAGTTTTCACAAAACGAGAGATGGGGCAAAAAAAAAGTGACGGGGGGGGGGGCACCAGAAATAAAATAAATAAAAT